GGGGGGGGGGGAGCATGGGATATGCCCACTTTGCTCCCTCTGCCCCTCACTAATCCATACTCCTTTTACAGCAGTAAAACAGTTACATTTCTTTTACATATCCTGTCATGTCCTGACACGCACGTCAATAACATGAAACCTGAAGAAAAAAACTCCTTGAAAGATTGTCATCAAGGGCGGAGCTATTCTAGTGGCACATAGGGCCTTGGACCACCTTGTCATTTTGCTGTTATGACCCCACTCATGATCAACTGTGAATCAATTTGACAATTCCTAATTTGGAATACAATACAGTCCTGTAAAATAGACACTCAAGCACAACACGATTGTGACCATCTACTATTTCAATAATCTGATCAGAAAATGTTTGCATATGCACCTGACTATGATTTTATGGCTGTGGGACAGTTGTTATTTTATGTTAGCTGGCAGCATTTTTGCAATCAGACATAATTTTTTTTGTTTTATTTTTGTTGGGTGGAGAATTTTGGTGCTGCTGGATCATGGTCCAAGAGTCAGCGCATAAATGTACAGTGAGGCAAGAGAGACGAGTAGAAGGAACGAAAACATTTGAACCAATTTTTCTCCATGTGTGTTTTTCGCCAATGGACAATCTATCGGAGGACCTCAGTTTGTTTATTCAAAACTCATATTTTATTGAGTGACGTCATGTAAGCTGTATGTAAGATGCTATCACGACATCTATGAGTCGACAACCCTATACCGATCAAAGGAGACCATGTCACCTCTCTAATAACATTTAAGGCATGGGTCTCAAACGCAATTTATGTGAAGGCACTGGAGATATCATCAGAATGTGTCTGGGCTAAATAAGTATTTCACAAAAAAGATTTCAAGTATTCTGAAAAAGCACAACTAATCCAATCTTCTCAATCTTTATTCATAACACTTTGGAACATGAACAGCTCTTCAGAATGTGAACAAGATCGGTGCTCTCATCTCCTTCATACTTTGCATACTCCTCAGCATGTCTATTTGAGTAATGACATCTGATTTCTTGAGCACCAGAACTTTCTGGTCCATTCAAGATATTTCGGTCTGCCAATATTCACAGCAAAAAAAAAAAAAAAAAAAGATATGTCTCTACTTTTTCTTGAAATCGGCTGTTCTTGCTGCCAACATTTTTCTTCATAGCAGATTTTGACAAAGACATGAGTTACAGGACGTGTTTTCCTTCCCGTTGATGTCCCTTTAGAATTATGTTTTGCCATTAGCCTGAGCTATGGTAGCCCATAAATGATGAAAAAAAAAACATACACAAAACGCACAGGGCAATGACATGGCAAAAATGTGGGTGCTGCACTCACATTAAACTTTGGTATCAAGAAGGGGTCTGCAAAATATCATCCTGCGGGATGCATTTTTTATGATTTGTTTTATGTATGGATTTTGTTCATCACATTATACAGTTTGTTGTACAGTACTTGTATGTCTTTAGTATGTATTTATTTGTACAGTGGTTGCTTTTAATTTATTGCCTTACTTTACCCTGCTGCTTGTAGCCAGGTCTGCATTGCAAAAGAGAATTCACTCTCAATTGCCTTACCTGAATAAATAAAGGTTATATATTTTTTTAAAAAATTACAATGGTTGTTCCGTTGTTTTGTCTCTGTCCTACGTATATCTATCTACTCGACGTAAGTGAAAATGGGGGTTGTCCACATTCTCTCTACAATAAAGATTTTAAAAGTGAAACGAATGTAAGGTTCAGTAATGTATTCCCGAAGTGTGTTTTGGGTCTTCTACCTTTTGGTAACAAGAAGCCAGAAAATTAAACGCTGTTTCCGAACTGCGAATTCATATTTTCGTACAAATACATAAATTAAAGCTCACGAGCACTGTTATCGTCACATACAAAAGGAGTTTCGAAAGACACTGTAGTAGTTATGTTCGTGGGTCAAAAAAAAAAAAGTATCGCGTTATTTGAAAGGATGAGTCTGTTGTCTCGCGATATTTCATGGTTGTTGCGCACTCAAAGGCGCCTCTCCAACAATCAACTTTATCCAGTCGTCTTTTACAAGACACGCAAAATGGCGTCCGCTCCCGGTAAGTGTAGATTGTGGAAACATCTCTCCTTCTATTGAGTCTGAAAATTTAATCATATTTTAATACTATAGTATTTAATGTATTTCTATGTACTGCGTCTACCGAATTAGTTTTTATTCGCTCCATTGAAGCGAATATTCATTGCCGTGAATTGGCGCCTGGCACAAGGCCTATGGTATTTCTTCGATGTACGTCGCCGTCGTCGTCTCACCCCCATCTTCTTTTGAATTCGATGATCTATTCTATCTTTTCATTCCCATTAATGTCAGGAATGTATAACATGTCGAGTTACACGTATTGTTAGCCGTATGATTGTTCAAGCCCGGCCATTCATGAACGGCGCTCAAACCGCGGGCTGGTTGAACGTTAGCATTAAAATATTAGCATCGTGGCTATTAGCGCTTCAAATCGTAACAACGGCCCTTTTGTTTTATTTGACGTTCAACAGATTACAGCTCCTACAACCAGTCCAGTTCTCAACCGGGGTAAGTGACCAAATAAAACCCTGTGATTATTACTGCGCCCGAGTGACGTTGAAGCTGCGACTCGTTCATTGTTAAGCGAGCAACATGTGCCTCACGAGTACGCTGCAACGTCCTGCGTTCTTTTTGAGTCCGGTGCATCCCTCATCTTAAACTTTACTTCTTTGCAGGTATGCGTCCTATGCTGCTCCAGCCTCACAAGCATATGGACAATCTGCCCAGGTAAATGATGATTGTATGACTGCGATCTCAAATGAGCAAAGATGGTTTACTGATTGATAGTTGGACCTTGGGTTGTGCGATATAGCTATAATGTAAATACATCGGTATTTTTGCCAGACATCTCGATAACCATAGCACTATGGGTTAGGTGAAAACAATGCATTTTAAAAGTAAACATCTTTGATCGGAAAGGATGTGGAAAGTGTACTTTTTAAGATTTTACTGACAGCCATCAACAAAGTCAGCAATAAAAGATTTTACCATTATGTTGTACTGCACCCGTGCTTTAATAATAAATAACAATTTTATGCTGCATCAGAAGTGTTTGTTGTTGTGTGTGTTATGTATGAATTTGCAAGCCCAACTGGAGTAAGGATAAGTGGTTCAGAATATGGATTGTGCTGTGTTTAAAAAAAAAAAATTTAACCAGTCACCTCCCGCGCATGACATTAGTTATGCATGCATTATACGGTAATCTTTAAACTCCCAGGGATATGAGCTATGCCTGGATCCCGTTTGCAGGGTCCCCATACATTATGTTACAATGTATGACTTTTTAAAATTGATCCACAAAGAAATTGTGGCAGTCAAAAAAGACTCGTTGCAACCAAAATAGGATAGTGACTCGCTGATGCATTCAATTGAATGGAGTAGCGAGGTGTGGGCTGCATGTACGTTTTTACAAGCTCTATTTTTTCCACTGAGAGTTTTTTCATCATAAATATGGTCATGTAATGTTCTGATACACAATAAATGTGTACCAGCTAGTGATGCACAATAATTATTGATCGATTTAATTACCAACACGATACCTGAAAAAAAATCTCATCACTCTTACCAGTCCGATGCAAAATTAGGCTTTTGTTGAAAGAACCATTGAAATACACCTACGTAGAACCAGTCAGAGTCTCCTCAAGTCAAAAAACTATTTATTATACCTTTTGAAACTTAGGGTAAACGTTTTCATACACGATGCCATTCACTTGATGGAGAGCCGCAGCCGAGGCTTCCTGGTGCATAACCCGCCCCCATGGCCATGACACCGCCTCGGAGATGATGACAACCGAGACATGTCTTATCCTTTTTAACTGAAGTTTCACCTTCGTTGCTGGATGCTGTATTCGTGTGGACTTAATCGTCATTGACTTATAATACATATTGACTAGCAACTTTTCACTGCATTTTCAAAATTGTGGCCAAAATGGCGTGTGACTAGTGGGACCTTCGTAGATTGTTGTCAGGTCTGGCAGGCGTTGCAATCAGCGGAGTCAGCATAAGCAAAAGCGGGCCAGCCAAGCGATACCACGCTTATCAACATTACAGACGAGCTAGCCGACCAGTAGGACCTCTGTGGATTGTTGTTGGTGGCGGGGGCAACATAAAGAAAATCGAGACAACTTAGTGTTTGCGCGAAGCCCAAATGTTTTTCCGTCAGTTTGTTCAAAGGTGCAATTGAATCGCAACCAGTTTTTCTCATTGCGAAGACATTTTGAACATGTTCAAAATTTGATGACGGCAATAAAAACTATTTGCGAACGTCTGAATGGCTTTACATCCTTTAACAGACCCCGGCGAATAAAATATTTGCTACGTTCGCTAACATTCACAAGCCGTTGCTGCTCAGTGAGATAAGATACCACCTTAATAGTGCAGTATGTTACAGGAATAATTTGTACAATTAGTGGGAAATATTGGCAGCGATTTATTAATTACAGTACACCCAATCTTGAGTCATTTGATTGGCCAATACAAAGTACAAATGCTGTTTGATATCACAGTGATTTAATTTTGCTTTGAATTCAGCAGCAGACTTATGGCCAGCAAAGTTATGGATCGTATGCCCAGCCTGCTGCCGCCGCTGCCGACAACACATACACCCAAGCAACTCCCGCTGCTGGAAGTTACACTCAACAGCAGCCACCGCAGCAATACAGCTCCTCTTACGGCCAGGCAGCACAAGGTATGTGATCAAAGGAGATCAACTGGAATTGGGATCGGGATAGAATTAGTGGGTCACCAAACCTCATGGGTTATTTTATTTATTTATTTTTTTTGCATATGTAATTTTCAAGTTGAAAAACAGTTTGTCTTATGTATTCCACAGCTG